CTACAGTTAGAAAAAAGAGCGTACAAAACACTTAATTTGTCTTAAAATACAGACATTCTGACAAATAAGTAACTGTAACCTTACCTCAGCGTAGAAGGCAGAGGGTGTCGGTCTTTTCTGCTCAGATTCAGCTATCGGAGCATGAAGCTAATGTTTACTCACAATACTAATGCTCTCTTACACTCTGGCGCTCAAGAGGAAGAGGAGCCAAATGGCTGGCTCACTGCTGTCAACTAGTTGTCAGAGGCTGAACTACAACATAAAAATGAACGGCTGGCAGGAAAGTTGACATTTTAAACCTTAATAAAAAAATCAATACAGGGCTTTAGAATATTGATACAGTATCGGGAAATGAAATATGATATTTCAGTGTATCGATATTTTCTTACACCCCCAGTAATTATTTGTAATCCCTGGTTGTAACTCCGCTAAGCTCCCCTTTCAATTAGCTTTGTCTTAAAAAACTATAATGAAGTATTACAGGAAAAATAAACTACTCTACCTATAAAAATTTTCTCCCCCCAATGCAGCAATCGCCCCCACCCTCTCTCCCATTTGATTGACATTGCACTGATTCGTCCTGCTCCGACACTCTGATGGGGGAGGGGCCAGTAGCACCTCTCAGGTAGCGGTTTGTGTTGACAAGCTCAATAACAACAAGTCTGTATTTTGTTGTCCCATACATGTCAACCTCTTTGGATATTTACCTGTATAAAAAGCCTCAAAAGTCTGTAAATTTTGCAAAAAATCCACACAACTCTCACCCGCGGTGGGTGGGTCAGCCTCGCTGCGAAACAGGAGGAAAGGAGAGCGGAAAAAGTTCAAAACTTATTTCAGAACAGGTTGGAAGATGGCTGTTTGTTATTTATTGTTTTACCATAGTACCTCACACTGTCAAACTTAACATAGTTGGGGGGGGGGGGGGTGCGCTTCAACTCACCTAGGGCACCAAAATGGCTAGAGCCACCACTGTGTTTAAGCTTTGGCGACATTTTCTTTCAGCTGTTGTTGTACCTGTGAAACAGACTCTTACAAATGGCCAAAACCTGGGAGGAATCATTCTGCCGTGAACTGCGGCGCTTTAAGCGTGACAAATCTGTGGCCAAAGTAACAGCAGCTGTCAGAGCAGAGAAATCTGTGCTGTGACGTGTACATCAGCAGCAGGAGGGGTTTCTCAGCAGCTCAGCACTGTGTGTCTCTTTGGTCTATGAAAGGTGTGTTTGAAAACAAACCACCTGCCACCACGTGGCCGTGTGTCAACAGGTCGCCTGTCCATCGACCATGCTGGACACTTGAGCGTAGGTGTCTTTCTTCAGGACACTTTGACTTGCTGTGGAGGTCACCACCTTTGTTCCAAAGCTGCCTCTAAAAAAAAAATCATAATGTATAAGTTATGTAGTGTAAAGGTTTATAAGACAGTTTTTGTATGAAACATTATGAAGCCCGCTTAGACCAATTGTTAGCTTGTTTTCCACCTGGAGATTTTTTGCCTGAAACAAATGCAGTGACGTCTATAACAAGTAAGGTAGTTTTTACTGATAACGACCCCACAAAATGTCACTTTAAAGAGTTTGAACTGATGTTTTTGTTTATTAGATATTTATTAATGTTTAGTTTTTTACTGGAACTAAATGTTATTGTGTTATAATTGACCTTTTTACTTATGAGGAACTGCCTAATTGTAATGCGCAGTTGACTCAATAAGGACTAGAGACCATCTGTTGATGGGGCCAGAGAGTCGGATGCTACTCAACATGTTCTGTTCTGGTTGTCATNGAGTCGGATGCTACTCAACATGTTCTGTTCTGGTTGTCATGGTTTTATAATAATAATAATTATAATAACAATAATTATAATAATAGTAATTATAATAATACATGTCAACCCCTTCAGACATTTACCTGTATAATGAGCTTCAAAAATCTGCAATTTTTGCAAAAATCTGTATTAATCACACGCAGGAGTGGGGGTGCAGGCGGGCCGTCAGCTGCAGCAATATCAGAAGGAAATGAGGACGAAAGAACTTATTTCTAGCAGCAGAGTGGGTTGGACTTGGATATTTAATGTTATTAATTATTTTTTAATGTCCTACAGGCTCTGACATGTTAAATAAGTTTGAAACTGAGTTTATGAAAAAATCTGTAACACATGAAAAAAATCTGTGAGATTACTCTATACGTCCATATACCTGCAGAATGATGGAAAATCAGTGTAAATTACAGACAATCCGTTCAACTTCACTCATTCTTCATATACAGCTCAACAACATAGCATTAGCATAACTTTAACGTTGTCCACTAACTAACCCAAATTAAAATATATATGTTTGATGTTTTGTGATTATTCACTGTGAACTGGACTGTGCCATTCGAATGTTAGTCAGCAGTAATAACTGCACCATAAGTGATGTAATGAAGTTTTAGACGAATAAAAACAATGGAAAATCTGCTAAATGAAACATCTGCAATAATAATATTGACCACGTGGCAACAAAAAACACAAAGTTGTTTTAGTTTATACATAGAAACATGTTTCAAAACAAGTTATTACAAAGTTATGTTGAAATCTTTTGAATGACTTGCATTTGCACCCTACAGTTTTTGTTTCCTAAATTTTCTATTTATTTTCTTATAATCTTCAAAAAACTGATGTGAGAATTTAACATAGGAAATTGAAGTTCAAGAATAAAATGTAAAAATCCTGCCATCTTTAGTCGTTTGGTTGTTCAGTGGTAATCGGTGTAACTCAGGTGCTGCATGTTAAAAACATGACAACTGGAGAATGCTTGTTTTTTTAAGTGAAAGTAAAATTCAAATGTTTAAAGTTTACTAAGTTTAAACTTGGCAAAATACTACAATACCTTAGCTTTTTGTCTTGTTTTTCTGTTCAAATCTCTTGTAGAGTTAGACTTGTAGGTGCTTTTGCTTCTAATTTGACAAATATTTAAATAAGAACTGAAGAGGAAAAAGGAAGCATTCAAATGATGAAGTTGCTCTTTTGGAATGGGCAAAGTTGCATTTTAAATAACATGTTTTGATTGAATTTATTTCCTTGATTAAGAAGTTAACTAAAACAGCACAAAGTTGCCTCAATGTTTGAGCTATACTGATTATTACAGAAGACAGATTACCAAAGAAAACATTGGTTTTATTGCAAGTGTGGGAAATGCATTGAAGGTGCTACAAACTTCAACCGACAGGAGTCAGAGATGTACATTTTCACATAAAGGAGAGTGTTTAAAAAGATTTTATATTGCAAAAACAATTGTTTTTAATTTGCGAAAGTGTTTGCTGTTACTAATTGTTTTAATTCTAACAATGCTAAATAATAACCGCTGCTTGGCTAAACGTGTCAGCCAACAATAACAGTAGAAAAGCTTTGGTTAAATCTCTTCTTAGTTTTGAAATAATTTATGTGTGTTTTTCTTCTGCAGGGGGAACAGCAGGAACAGCCTTTCACGAGAAAAGAGGACTTCATGAAGCGCCTGGGAAGTCCGCAAAAACGTCAGCGTCCAAAGTCTGTCCCTACAGTCACCCGTCGTCCCAGAACTCCAGTGGGTCKTCTGCTGGGAACTCCCTGTCTACCTCCACAGACCTTTGTAAGACCACTCCCAAGCACTTCAAGACCATGTGCCGTCGACCAACGCCGCCAGGTAGTTCATGTTTTTAAACCTGGTTTTGTTAAAACTGTCTGATACGTTTTATTCAGTAATTCACTGTAATGAATTTCATGTTTGATTTTAGAGAACTCTAAAAAACTTGCTGAAATTATTATTAATTTTTTTTCACTCCTTAAACTAAGTCTGTGCCTAAAACAAGACTATGGACAGTAACTTTAGAATCCTCTATGGATCCTTTTCAGAGTTCCCTTTAGTTGTGTCTGATTATTTAATTCTTGCTTTGTTTATACATTTTTTTGTTCTGACATTTTTTTAATCAGGCTTCTCTTAATACTTAATAAATTATTTGTCACTATGAGCAAAATTTAGTGTTTATAAACCAAAGCTGTTGTGTTCTAAGGTTTTGTTTCTGACCTGTTTAAGGAACTCCTTTGTTGCTCGTCTGGTCTTGTTTGATATTTTTGCACATTTGAGGCTTTTCATATACAGGGTAAGTCAAAAGTCTCAGGACACCCTTTTTATTTCAGAAACATAAGGGAAAGGGCAGCAAATAAAGGGTGACGGGGTCTATCTTGTGGGCAAAGTCTGGAATATGGCTGTCATATTGGCTCAAGAACAAGTTTTTCCAATGGGTAGATGGTAGGGGTGGGAATCTTTTACTTTCTCACGGTTCAATTCGATTCTGATTTTTGGGGCCACGATTTGATTCAAAATCAATTCTTCCTTCAAAACGGATAATTTGTCGTGTTCCCGAAATGTTTCTCTTCATTTTGCAAACCTCGCTCATGTCAAACTCAGACTCATTCATAAAATGAGCCCAAATCAACATTCAATGAAGACAGGGTCAGTTGAATCTCTCTTTCCTCCAGTTTTTGTAGTTTCCTCTTTATTTTGGTGCTTTCTGAGCATTCATATGTTCCAGAAGCAGCTGCACAATGACATCAGGACGCCCCATGTAGTTACAAAATGGAGGCTCACAGCCATTGGATTTGCTTTATTTTTTAATTATGAAAATCGATTTTGGGACATTTTAAATCGATCCTGAATCTTTGTAAATGAGAATCACGATTCTGATGTAAAATGATTTTTTTGGTGCTCCCCTTGTATACGGTCATTTAGAATATCAAAGAAGATCAAAACTGTCTCAGAAATTAATTGCTGCAATCAGATTTGCATCATCTCTTGTGGTTCACAAGTTATGAACACAGAAAGCTCAAAACTTTTATTGTTCGTCACTTGAAACTGAAGATGATGTGATTCTTTTGGTCGTCTTTGATATTCTGCATGACCACCTACTGACTGAAAAAACTTGCCCTTGATCCAGTATGGCAGCTTTCAAGATGGCAACCATGTTCCAGACAAAGCCTAAAAGCTAGGCCCCTCACCCATTACTTGCATGGGTATTCAGAAATTTCATTTATTTAAAAAAAMCCCAGAAATTTCATTTTCCCATTTGTCTCTGAAATAAGAGTGTCTTGAGACTTTTGACTCACCCCTTGGATGCACTGAAATCATGCAGATGGGTAATTAAACTAGCTATAGAGTCTTTAACAAAAAAAAGGAGAAATCCTGCTGCTGTTATGCCTCTGAGCCACCAAGTGAGGTGATCCCAGAGCTGTATGTGCGTAAGGGTAAGGCAGCGTTGTGACTTGATTGTGTTGATGTAGTGATGACAGACAGTCCCACACTAAGTGCCAGGCGGTTGAATTCTTTAATAATGTTCAGAAAGAATAGAAATTCTCATTGGAATTTATAATGGAAGTCTGTAAACATGTAAAGATTCAATAAGTGAGACTTAAATTGCATTTCTGTTCATACTTTTCGTCGTCCAGGTGAAGCCTTTCATCCAAACGACCACCATCAACACACAGACTTATCCGTACCCCCCAACAGCCCAACCGGCCTTTCGTCGCAGCATTCCTCCCTCCTGCCCCCGAAGCCGAGCTCCGGGCAGCAGCACGGCCACGTGAGCTCCTCCTGCGGCGAGGCGGCTCACGCGTCTTTCCCCCCGCTGGTACCAAATCTCCACAGCACCGCAGCCAAACTGGGCTCTCCGAGTCCGGACAGCCCCACGTCCGCGCACAAGCCAAACCCGTGCAAAAACTCCCACATTCCACCTGTGAACACGCAGCAGCACAGCAAGCTGGGAACGCCTCTAATGGGCTGCAGTCACTCTTGTAACGGACACAGCCAGGGACCAGTGGCCTCGACCAATGTAGGCCATCTAACAGCTGGAGCCTGCAGGTTTGTGTGGTTGTTTCAGCATTGTTCTGATCATCATGAGAAATGTAAGAATATGTGAGTTTATTAGGAGTACTATGTATTTATGATTGTATGTATGTTTTGCAGGGATCAGGCATGTAAGGGGCATAAAGTGACAAATGGGACATTGTGTCACCCTTCATCAGAGCTGGAAGAGGGGGAGGATGAAGACAGCAGCTCTGAAAGGAGCTCCTGTGCCTCCTCTTCTACCAACCAGAAGGACGGGAAGTATTGCGACTGCTGCTACTGCGAGTTCTTYGGACACAACGCGGTACGTTAAAGTGCTACTCTACACAGGTCTGCGTAGACGCAACAGAGACACAGTTGGTTACGTTTTTTTTTTTTGTCTTCCGACAGCCCCCAGCTGCACCGACCAGCCGAAACTACRCTGAGATCCGGGAGAAGCTTCGCTCGCGCCTAACCCGACGTAAAGAGGAGCCGCCTCAGCGCCAGGATTCAGAACTGACAGTGGTGGGCGCCATTGACAACAGGGACGTGGACGAGCTGCTAGACTTCATTAACAGTTCAGAGCCCAAACCTGTCAACAGCGCCAAAGCTGCCAAACGGGCTCGGCACAAACAAAAGAAGAAGGTGCGATAACCGTAGTGACCACTATAGTGACTAAGATACTTTAGACAAATAAAAAAAGTGATAAATAATCATTAAATGTGTTTATTTTAATATCTGTGTAACTCCAGTCACATTTCCTTCTTGAACCTGTGGCGTTTCTGTTGTAGGAGAAAGCTCAGCAGAACAACCTGGGTGCTGCAGGCAGTGAAGCCCAGTCCGATCCAGCGGACGAGCCCATGGACGAGCCCATTCCAGATGGTCCAGAAACCAGTCGACTGCTTGACTGGCCCCAGCTGGAGCTGGAACGGGTCAACAGTTTCCTCACGAGTCGACTAGAAGAGATCAAGAACACCATCAAAGACTCGATCCGGGCCTCTTTTAGCATGTACGACCTCAACCTGGACGTCAACGACTTCCCAAAGAAGGCTGCCATGTTGGAGGGAAACCACTTACTGTCCCACCTGAACGGTTCCTCTGACATGCAGCCGATAGACCTGGACCTCTCTCCTCTCTCGCTGGGAACCTTTAAGAGCCACCTGGACCTGGTTAACGGATGGGAGGACACAAATGTTGCCTCGTCCCCAAACGCTGCCACCAACACCTCGACGGGTCTCAGTGCCTCTTCAAAGGACGTCCAGCGGTTGCACACTACTACCGGTCGTTCGAAGCTCATAGGAGTCCGCTCGCCAGAAAGATGCACTTCCACCGGACCTGAGAGTGTGCCACAGGTGCCGRCTCAAACGGTGGCTAAATCGAAGGAGGACCCCACCGATCCCAAGAACACTGCAGCTGGGAATGGTGGCATGAAGTCGAAGAAGAATAAAAAGCAGCAGAGGCAGGAGGCTTCTGTGCCGGAGCAAAGTTCTAACAAATCRACCAAAGCTGCCTGCGGTAACGAAGCGCAGAAAACCTGCGAGTCTAAAGAAGTGACGTCTAACGGWGCAAAGTCTGGGAACAAACCGCCTCAGCACTCTGCAGACAACCTGAGGAACGGGCCTAAGAAAGCAGAGGAGGGCAGATCATCCAAACACGCAACAAATGCAGCAAACGGTGGCTCCGCGAGCGCACAAAGAGGGAAGTGTGACCCCGAGACACGAGGAGGTCGGGCTGAGCAGGAACCAGAGAGCAAAGCTCATCCCACCATCCCAGCCAACGGGCCTCCACAGCAACAACCCAAGGGGAAAAATAAGAAGAATAAGAATAAGGGAGAAAAGTCCAGCAGCGCTATTGGTGTGGAAAATTCATTTTATTCATACCTGGGTTTTAAAAATACTTTTAATATTTATTTTTAAATCCTTGTTTTTCCTTCCTTAGATGACGTATTTCTTCCTAAAGATGTGGATCCAACAGAAATGGATGAGATCGATCGGGAAGTCGAATACTTTAAAAGGTAACAGAGCATTGTTTTGGAAAAATATTCCAGCCAAGATTAGATTAGCTTACACCACTAAAATTATATTGATGTTTTTTGTTTTTCTTCGTAGGTTTTGCCTTGATTCTGCTAAACAAACTCGCCAGAAGGTAGCAGTAAACTGGTCCAACTTCAGCCTCAAAAAGGTTCCTTCTAATGCAGCTCAATGACTTGGGACGAGCGCCGGAGGAAGCAAGAACAACGTCGCACCACAGACTCTTTGAGCAGAGCCCTGTTCAACCCGAAGCCTTCTCTCATTCCCACTCTCCTACTCCTTTCAAAGCCACGGGACCTCGGTTTGAAACTCGTACTCGGAAAACTGAAACACGGCTTGATGCTTACGAGCCAGTGAGCATTTTCAAGACCACCTCTGCCCTTTCGCTGTCACCGCAACGTTCACTTCAACGGAGATAAAAAATAAGTCTGTTGAATCAAATGCATCCATTTGCTTACGTATGTAGTATGTAAAYGATTATCTTAAATGAAATAAAAGGTTTTTATCAAAATGTAAAAAAAATCTGAGACATTTTACCCTTGTGAAACTGATCCAATCAATTCAAATTGGTGCTCATTCATATTACGCAAACAAAACACTATTTAAAATTGTTTGACACTACACTTGGCAAAAAAAGGTACATTTTAACCTAAAGACGAGGGGAAAAAAACATAACTGAGCGACAGTGATGAGACTCCAGTGGTTTTGAAGTGAAGCGGTTCTAGATTTTAATCACGATCAACAAACGGAATGGCAAAAGCACCTGCTCATACTGTATTATGGTTTTATTTTTAATGGTATAAAAACAAAGCATGAGTGTTGAAGCAGTTAATTTAACAGAGACACTAATTTACCCGTTAGCACTTACTGAATTCATTTTTTTATGACATCTAAATAAAAATCCAATGAAGGACCCATTTGAATGCATCCYTGTGCATGATGATGATGATGTGTAGGACAGAAAGATAAAAACTGTCCACTCCCCTCCTGGTCTTGTACTGACAAAGCTTGTGTGTGTTGCTTCAGTGTCGGTTCCTCCTGTGTGGCTTTAGTGATGGACGGTTATCTTTATATTCAAAACACTTTAGAAGAAAGTCTGTTTCCATCCTTAGTCTCTAAAACGCTCTTTCAACCCTTGGCAGCAGGTTAACACACTACCGCTTAACCTGTACAGGTAAATTGATGGCATCCTTCTCCTGAACTAATCTGTCTGAAGCTCTTGTTCTGATCATAATTGCAACCATCACAGCAGAAACCTTTAGGTTTTTACTCCAGTGTAAATGTTTTGAGCTGATGACTTTCATGAAGATTGGTCCTTTTTTATATATATATATATATACATAAAAAGAAAAAAGTYTGTGCTGAGATTTTGTTTTTAATGTAATATCTCTGATGCTTTACAGGTTATACTTAATTAGAAAAGATTATCTTAATGTTTCGAATGTAGATTTATACTATACAAACAATAGCCAAATGTATGTTGGCTTGTTTCGGTTTTTTATTCACTTTTTGATACTGTGAAAAATCTTTCGTTCGGAAATATTAAAACAATACCGTTTTGGACAAAATAAAATGTGGTGTTTTTTTGGTCTTTTTAATCTTAATTTGGTGTTCACAACATCTTCAACTGTGATCTGCAGGTTTTTTGACCCTCGCAGCGCTCCGTACGAGTTCTTCTTTTCCGTAAACATGCGGGGTTTGGTGTATTAGCCGAAGTGAGTGGCCCGAGGTTTATTTTTAATACGCTGAGTGAATTTCATAAGAAAATAGTGAACTCGTTAATAAAAATGGAGACTGAAAATCGTCATAAAAAGGTAAGTCCAGGCCATGACGTCGTTTTATGTAGGAAGAGAACAGTCTGGCTGAAGTTAGCTAATGTTAGCTTGGCTGCTAACGACCGATTAGCATACTTCGAGCATAACAAAACATTTTAAACATACCGACCTACTTTAAATGGGTGGAAACAAATTATATATATACCTGTGTACATTTAGCAGGAATAAGGGATACATAATCCATTATAAGTATAAAGTTTGCTACGTTGTAGGTAGGAAATGTTAACGTTAAAGAAACTAGTGCTAACAAAGCTGCAATTTAGGTGTCAATCACCGAATTTGTGATCATCAGACAAAGTTATCGCCATATATGTATATACATATATATATGTGTGTTTGATCATACAAAGGACAGAGAATATCATCTGCCATCTAGTTACTATGGATATCATTTAAGTTATTTTAACTAAGTTAATTTAGAATAAGATTGTAAGGTAAAACAATAAGTGAATAGAAACAGTTTCTGTCATTAACGTTAATGTAGGTTTTAGCTTTCAGGCCTTTTATAATAAGAGGTTATTTTTTTTGCTTCAAATATATTTATTTTTCTCTTTTTAGCTTTTCAGTTTTTACACTGAGATGTATTCATTAACTACCTTTTATTGAAAGTCCATCATTTTGTTTATCCAWCATATTTATATTAATTTTGGAGCATCACCATCCAGTGTTCACTTCAGTTTATTACACTTTCTGACAGTACTTACTGTCACATTTTTTCATTCATCTGAGTACAGAAGTTATTTCAGGCGCTTTGACRCCTTTTGTGTCCTAAATGGTCAAGTCTCTGTTAATAATAACAACCCTCTTTTAAAACCACCTGAATATTTTCCTCCTAATGTCACGTGACACACGTGTGTTTTAACAGCTCACCTGTCCCGCGCTGTGCTTCAATTCTGTTTGACTTTATTCAGGTCCCCTGAATTATAGGATTGTTGATCACATTTATTTTAAACRGGTTCACTTGTAAGTCAGAAGGCCTTTAAAGGAGAAAAACATGTAGATGTTCATGTGATATTTAAACATCTGTTTATGATGACTGTGCAGTCATTATTTCATACAGTCTGCTTGTGATCTTCAACTAACCACCACATCAGGACCTGTTTTTGCAACTTCTATTTTTTCTTCTTCAAAATTAATTAAGGAATGGTTGTTCTTCTACATTATTCATGTTTACTGCTCAGTAGTGAGGAAATAAAATGACTCACGCAGTCATTTAAATGATTATTTGTTTTAACTTGTTTTTCTACAGAGATCCCTTGGAGAGGAAGACAAATCCGGCTCAGATGGATCGGAGGATGATGATTATGTTCCTTATGTTCCAGTTAAAATCAGAAAACAACAAATGGCGAGTTATCTTTGATTTTCCTCTGAACACATAGGAGACACGAGCCACTCCTTGTCTGGTTTAATATGATGAATTCAAAAAGCAGATCAGGCCTGTCGGACAGATGTGACCGATTTAAATTCAGTTTTTTTATTGAATGTCAAACATAAACAAACATAATGTTTGTGGACACGACGTTAGGCTTTTATCATGCCAAGTCGCTTAACTCTAAACATTAAATTGTTCAGTTTTACCTAGTGTTCCTAACATCAGCTCTGGTTCACAGCTGCAGAAGATGTTACGTCTGCGAGGAAAGGCTGTGGATGAGGAGCAGAAGGACAGCGGGGAGGAGCAGAGGGATGAGGACGAGGGTCTGGGTCCACGCTCCAACGTAAGTCTGCTTGACCAGCATCAGCATCTCAAGGAAAAAGCAGAAGGTTAGTAGGTCAAACCAGATCCACTCTACATTAGGATAATTGTTTTTTTTTTAATTCTTTTATTTGTCTCATTACTTCTGTACAACCTCAGTTTCTGCATGTTTGTGTCTGCAGCTCGTAAGGAGTCGGCCAAAGAGAAGCAGCTGAAAGAGGAAGAGAAGATTCTTGAAAGTGTCGCTGAGGGAAGAGGTACTGTTAAAGCTCGGTCAACTCTTACTGATTTTTTTGTCTAAATTTACTGTCTGGGAATAATTAAATCTTTTTTTCAGCTCTTATGTCTGTGAAGGAAATGGCCAAAGGTATCATATATGATGATCCAATTAAAACAAGGTAAGATCTGAATTTGTAAAATTTATGCTATCATATTGTAAACATTTTTATACAGTGGGGTGCGAAAGTTTGGGCAGCCTTATTATTGTCCTGATTTACCTTTTCTAAATCATGAATGAATGAATGAAAATATGTTTATTTCAAAACAGATAAAACAAACAAACAAAAAATGTGTATTTATCTATACACACATACATGAATCTTTTGTATTTGGCAGCTGACAAGACCATCTGTATTGAAAAGGAGTTGGTTGAAGTAAAGTCTTATTTTTTCCTACCCCTTTCTTACTCTTCAAAAAAAAGTTATATAGTCTTGATTTTATTGTTGTGAACCTTCTGATTTTACATACACATTCATAGCTATCTCATGTACAGCAAAACTTAACAATAATAGCTTATTTAACACCCCAGTGTTTCACTTAATCTCTAAATGCCCTCAATATCGACCGAATAACAACTCAAAATAATTTTTTTGTATCTTTTTTTTAAACTGATTTCTATGTTTACATTGCTTCAGTTCAACATTTAACCCATGGATTGTTTGGATTAAAAAAATCAAATATATATACAGCGGGTAAAATAAGAATTGAACACGTCACCATTTTTTTCAGTAAATATATTACTAGAGGTGCTAATGACATGAAATTTTCACCAGATGTCGGTAACAACCCAAGTGATCCAT